TTAAATATCGCATGCGATTTATCGTGCAGCCCTACTTAAAAGTATTCGAAATACATTTATTTCATGCTAACTATACTACAAATACATTTACATATTTATATACTTAATAAAAATACCCTGAAATTGTACTTTTGGTATACTAAACTGGTAAAGTCTGCTAAATTGGAACAACTAATTTTGTACTTAGTGCACTTTGTGCAGAAGTAGTGCTGAAGTCCAACTACAGATATACTGAAGTATTTTTGATTGTACTATTGCAAGTATACTTCAGGTACACTTTAAATATCTTGCATTTACAGACCGATATTATTCAAAGGTCATACAATCCTCATCAATAGTAACATTAAAACACATTTTAGGCTTAATATTAGGAAATGTGCATTATGCACAAGTAGTACTCCAAATAAAGTTTAATTATAATTGTTCTCTGTAAGTCTCGAGTGATATATCAGTAAATATATTTATAGATTTAAACTATATTAGTATGAAATAAATGTATTAAATTATTTTTTACTAGGGTAAATATGTTTGCATATGGTAGTCAACTTACAATGTCTAATGCATCTGTTAAGTGATCACTGTGACTTGCAATAGCACATCAGAAGGTTCCAACATTCTCTTTAAGTGGCTTTGAATGTAATATAAAACACTGATTTTCTTTGTCAGGTCATAACACCATACTAGACAACCACAGGATCAGTGTTCATTAATTAAAATAAATCTGAAATAAATAAATAAACAAACATTAGAATTGTTGCCTTGGCAAGTAAAATAAAAGTTCAATTTAAAGTAGGCTACTACAATTCCCAAAACTAAAACGGAAATAAATATAAATTAAACATAAACTAAATTAAAATGAAAATAAAAATAGAAAAATTATAATTCGAAATACTACTACCGTAAATACTATAAAAGTATCTAAATACTAAAATCGCACTGCATAGGATATGGGTCAAATGCTTGTTATCTTAAATATTCTCATTTGTTAATTTCCTAGTATGTGTTTCAGAGTAGAGATGACTTTAAAACAGTTATTTTATTTCACAGATAACTGAGAACTGGATGTCTGACGCATGAGTATCTCTACCTCCATCAGTAATAACCAGCAATTTATGAATTCTGATATCTACCATATATGTGACATGTGTCTATCAACATTCTCTTCTATCTATGCTCCAACCGAAGCCCCCAACCAAAGCCAAAACCAAAACCCAAGATCACTTTAGCTCGTCGGCTGGGCTTGAAGGTGAGCGCCACCTGCTGACCACAGTTATACACACAGTTTGCTGGGTAGGTACTTTTCTCTGCTCAAGTAGAGATTCTACAATGATAACAAAATAACTCTTTGCTTTGATATGACAACAATGGTCCTGTCATCCTGAAGATAAGGCTGCTGAATACAGCACTGGACATGCTGATAGTAGAGAAGCAAGATAAAGAGAAGGAGAGGGAGCAAGTGTTCAGTGAGAGAGTTCCTCCGCTCAATTTTTCCGGCCTGTCAGTACAGGAATTACAGGTACAATTAAATGATTTAAATGGATCATTTAACTCCTTTTTATAAAATTTAAAGGAATCGTTAATCCAAAATAGAAAACTCTGTCATCATTTACTCACCCTCGTGACCTTCGTAGGTAAAATGGTGATGGAAAACAATGAGAAGGGAGGGAAAAAAGGAATGTATTGTTACGCTTGCATTCGCGTGCAAATTATTTGCTTTGGCCCGTGAGGCTTTGCGTTCGCTCGCAAAAAATGCAAACGTTTCTTAGGGGAAAGCAAAACTTTTGCGCGCGAACGCAATGTATCTCGGGGAAACGCAAAAATTTTGCATCTATGAGATGGGAGAAAATTCATATTTTCATGTCTCTCGCAAAAATATTGCGTTTCCGAGGGAAAAAATACGTTCTAGGAGGAAAACAATAATTTTCTTCCTATCTAACAGTAGCCTATTTATTTAGCAGCCTAAGCTGCACTTTTAATTTAAAGGCACAATATGTAAGTTTTCGCCGCTAGAGGGCGCATATTCAAAACAAACAAGGAAAGAAAGGCATAGTTTGATGACGCTGTGACTGAGTGTAGAATCGTGAGAGTTGTTGTCTTCATCCCTACAGCCGTTGCAATCCGACGGGACTCGGGCAGAAATCATGTTCATGGATGAGCTAATGTATTAATGATTTATTAACGTAGTAGAATGAAGCAGAGTGAGGCTGAAAGCCATCGAAGCGAAACGAGGCCTCTGAGTGAGCGTGACACACGGCTCGAAAGCAGCGGAGCTTTTATTATGCCACACTGCTTCCGCTCCTTCCGGTCGTGAGTATGTGTGGTAAACATAGACTGTATAAAAACATAGACGTAGTGTCCGTGACGTCACC